GGGTGTGTGTATGGGGTGTGGTGGGAGGAAGGTCAGTAGACTGGAAACCCAAAGAAGATGCATTACCCTGCTTCTAAGTTTCTGAGGTATTACATATGGATACGCACAAAGTTCAGGGCAATTTTAGCGTTCACTCCAGTTACGTCAAATGCTTTCAGTCATAAAATGCATAGGCACTGGAATCCACAAAGTCAAGCTGACAGAAAAAAAGATCTTGTACAGTTGCCAATCTTTGCTCAACAGAGCCTCAGAACAGAATAAAAGTGACGAATAAGTTATCTCTTGTGGAATAAAGTGAGCACCATGCAAACACACTGCTGATGGGCCATAAGGGACACTTTCTCCTAAGCTCCATCCATCTTCACCTTATAGAAGTACTAAAAGCCTTATCAATAATTTAACAAACTAATGGACACATTTTTAAACATTGTGGGCTGATGCTTAAAGAAGTGCCATATTGGCAGAGCAAGATGGTAGAAGTGGAAAGCTTGTGGCTTTTTCTCCTGTGGTTATTTTGAAAGTCAGGACAGCGTGGCATGCTATGGACACAGTATTTTTGTCAGGAGCGGTTTTTTTCTGCTAGAGCTCAAGCCTGGGACCACAAAGCAGCAACACAATGAAGGGTAAACTTCATCTTCAGGTGGTAGCAGCTGTTTGTTTTGGAAAGCTCTTCACAGTCAGCAGGACCAAGCCACATGGATCAGTGATAACAACCTTCCTGAGAAACACCTGAGGATTTTGCAGCCATTTTAATTGTGAAGGCCCCAAGCTTTGAGACTCACTAATTCCCACCAGTTTAGCTGCTGGGGAGCCTGGTTGCCACCCCACTGAGACACATGCTCCCAGGGCTCTAACTCAGGGACCAGGATGCCAGGACAGCCCACCTGGTTTCCCAGCCATAGCCTACCCCCAGCAAGGACAGCATACACCTCAACATCTCCAGCGTATCTAACACACGCTTCAGGCTTCAAAGGACTGCAGCCTAAACATCGTCACCCATGCCTGGGTGGTGCAAGCCATCAATCAAACTATACCCAGCTTCCCTCAAGACACAGTGGAGAGAAAAAAAAAAGCTTCCTGACCTGAGCATGCACCCAGGGTGCTGGAGACCCAGATCTCCTGCTGCAGCTCTCCAAGGAGGATAGCACACACGCTGCCTACCTCCTGCAGCCCCCTCTCTGCTGCCTGCACTTCGCTTTATAAGCTCACACCCAGCCGCCAGCTGTGCGGTCAGTTCCCATTCCTAATCATCCAAAAAGAGACTTACCTGGATGTAGCTGTCTATCTGCAAAACAAGCAATTTACCTGTGAATCAGGTGCCCTCACTGCTGATGACTAATCTCTTCGGCATCAGGTGCTTCCGACCCCCAAAACATGCATCGCTTATACCCACAGCCCTGCACCCTAGCTGGGTAATGCAGGTAGCGCAAGTGGCCGAGCAGACTGGCTACTGCTCGTGCCAGTCTTCAGGCACCAAGCCCTCCCGAGGCTTTACAAACCGGCTACCTAACCGAAACCAGGCACAAAGAGGCTAGGAGATGGAGTGCTGAGCCTGCATCCCTTTTCTGCACCCAGCCCAACCTGAAGGTGAACGGATCCCTGTCCGTGGTCTCACGGGGTGCACGTGAGCCGGCTGCGTAAAACAAGAACATCAAACACTGGCAACGCGTGGGGAGGGCTCATCTTCCACCTGCGAACGCCTGCGGCTCAGCATGGTTTCCTCTCGTCATCAAGGCCGCGCTTTGCTCTCGGGCTCAGGTGTTCAGTGTGGCATGAAGGGGCGCTTCCGTAAAGGTCATCCATGCATCCTTCCTATAGGGCGGTATTGTAAACTTCACGTGAAGGAGGATTTCATGTGTAAGAACACTGAAGATACGGCCTTTGAGTGGGTTCTTCATCTCTCCTGTGAAATTCATAGCTGCAGTAGATGCACAAAACTTTGGGAAAAGGGAAATTCCTACGGCTACGGATGTATTTGTCTTACCAAGAACAATCACTGAGTTCACAAAGCCGATGCTTTATTTTCCTTTTCCAGAAATTTCCTGCATTATGGCAGGACAGAAAACTGATAAAATTCCCACCACCATCTTCTGGAGTTTGCTGCTACCGACATTATACCTCTAATTTTTTACTTCACGTCAAAGCCTCCTTGACGCGTGATTTCATTATTAAGAAGTGCGCTGCCTGCCATGCTGTTCTGCTTAATTGCTGTGGGCACTTTAGTGAATTTGTACTTTTTGCAATCTGCAATAGATCTGTGATCTATTGATTGTCAACTTTAGAGACGGTGCTGAAAAAGAAGAAAAATATACACTGTTCAGTTACCGCTAGTATGTTACTTCTTGATAACAGTGTAATTAAATTCCACAGTCATTGTGCATCCTGTCTTAGGCCTGTGTACTGAGTGAAACAGTCAAGTACGAACACTCGGTTTGATAAAATCTTCATAAAACTAAATAATGAAAATCTATAGATAAACCAGGCCTTTGCAGCTGTCAAAACTGAATTTAATTGCCTCATGTAAAGAAAATACTGGGAAATATATTCTTCACATTATTCTTACAAATTCTCTTTATCCCTCTGAAAGAAATTATGAGGTCTACAAAGCAGTGGCCATGTAAAGGAGAACTACAGTAAGGCTGAAAAAAAGGCAGAAGTCATATTGGCTTTAAGGAGAAAACAATGACAGCGATACTTAGCTGAGATACCATCATTCACAAAGGCTTGAAACTTTTACATTTCAGAACTTATTCACCTTCTTACAGCCATGCCATTTGAAACAAACTAGCCAACCCTGCATTTGGAGGAGACAGCGTATCAGGCAGATTTTCAAGTTAATTCCATCAAGCACAGCGCTGAAATTAAGCTTTGCCTACATGTCCAAGGAGCGGAGAGCTGGCTCCCACGGTGCCGGGGTGCTGGGGACTCCTAACTGAGGGGTCACGTACACCCCTGCCTCCCGGATGCCTGTCCAGGGATGGGGAACAGTGAAGTAAACAGGAAGCATGCAAGAAACCATTTTTTATGTTGTTTGTAAAAAGAAGTCAAAACAGAAGAATAAAAAAAAAATCTCTGAAAGCATCTCCTGAATGCCAGTCCCTGGGGAGCCCGTGAGTGATGCATCACTTCAGATAAGGGGGATTTTAAAGAAATGGCGCATACGTGACGAGTTTGGAGATCTGACCCTCACAGAGGGGCTAGGAAGTGCAACGTGTTTAACATTTTCAGCATCTTCTTTTGGTTTTGGGTGGGGGAGAGAGGGTTCAGCAAAGCTCCCGGGAGCCCCCGTGCCTGCCCTTCCAGCTGCCATCTTCTGATGTCCTGCAACTGAAAGATTTCTCTTGCCTCCCAGATCAGCATCTTCATGACCCATTTGTCTAATTACGGGAATGACCGCCTGGGCTTGTACACCTTTGCCAACCTGGCCAACTTTGTGAAGAGCTCGACTAACCTGAAACTGCAGACGCTGCCCCCAGTTCAGCTGGCTCAGAAGTACTTTGAGCTCTTCCCGGAGCAGACGGACCCTCTATGGCAGGTAATGTCACATCCTTTTCTTCCTCCAATTACAAAACACTTGTTGAAACAAGAATCTTCTCTTGTAAAAAAAAAAAAAAAAATCCCACTTCACATTCAGATACGTTATTTCTTCCTGCATGCCTTCTTAGATTATTTATATTTTCTTGAGAGACCATTGCTTTTGACTAGAAATGGCTAAGCTTCCACTCACCCCAATCAGGCACGCTAAAAGCACCTAATGGCCATTTATGTGGGAGAAAGCTTCTGTTCCCGTCCCTCCTGTCCGTAGTTTTGCTGATGCATCACGTTGCGTTAACTAATCGTGTTGCACTATCGGTAAGATGCCCATGGCCAGCCAATAGCGAGAGCTATCTCAAGGCAAACGATGCAGATTCATTGCAGCCCTTAACGGGGAATCACTAATGTTGGATCACCGCAGCTACAAGGAGGATTTCCCACCAGAATCACTAATGTTGGATGACTTCAAGGAGGATTTCCCACCATCTGAACGCCCATCAATGAAACAGCGAGGAAAAGGGAGGGCGGGAGGGGTCAGCGCGGCAAACGCAGAATGGGCAGCAATTTTAAGAATGGAAAAAGGTTTCCCACAGACTGACTATTTTCTATCTCTGTTTCAAATGCACAATAGTGCTGTTTGTAATCTCACCACTGTAATTTCCTAATCATTGTTACACATATCTGGCTCTTCTCTTATTCAGAATATGATGTGCCACGCTGTGCTTTTAGCTATGCAGGCATAAATCCAGAGTGACACCGTGGAGACCTGTGCAGTTATTTTGGGCTTACACTGGCAAAAAAGAGCAGAAAATTTCCCTATTATTTTTAGCCCAGATGCAAAAGAAGTACAAAGCTATGATATTTCCATTGAGTTTAGCGTAGCTGCAGCGATTCACATCAGTTAATGATTTTCTTCATTATATTTTGTTAACTTTATCCACTAGCAAACTGTATCTTCTATTACCAGCCAATACTATGCAAAAGCAGTATCTATATGATAACTGCTTTAAAGAGCAGCCAATCCTAACCTTTTCTGTGGGGTCTGTTGTTCACACATTTTTATTTTGCATTCATAGGTAGTAGAAAGATAAGGAGATGAATAATATCCTACATTTCTATTTTGTCCTTCCTTTGGGGTGCTTATGTAAATTAAAATTGGCACTAAGTCCTATGCATCTGAAACCATTTTGTCACCTAAGTAAGTAATGCCTTGAAGCTATTCAAACAGAGGCTTCCATTTTAACCTCAAATGAAAACTTGATTAAATCAATGTTTTAATCTTTTTTTTCTTCTTTCTTTTCTTTTTTTCTAATGACTGAACTTAATCCTCAGTCATGCAAAACCATTATATACAGATTAAATTTTAGTCAAAGGGACCACATACGTGCCTACCTACGTGCCTATTGGCTCGGAGTTTATGAAATGAGCCTGACTAATGGGGAGGAGGGAATGAGGTCGTCTCACAGGGTGTGGATTTTGACACCAATCCTTCCAGGATTTGCACAACTGTGTGGCGTTATTGACTTCACTGGGACCCCTGGAAGGATTGGTCCTGAAGGATACCTAGGAGTTTGGTCCCTGTGTACCTCAATGCTTCCATGGATCCGTACCAGAGTGCTCAATATCTGTCAAGAGTAAATTCTTATGAGGAAACATGGGATTTTACTACTTAGTGTAAGGCTCTGGCATTAGTGCATAACATTTAGATCCTGCAAAGACTTGCATGTATGCAAACATTTAGGATACGCCCAGTGTGACGTACACAACCGCCTTTTCTTCTTCAGAATCCGTGTGATGATAAACGACACAGGGATATTTGGTCCAGAGACAAAACTTGTGACCACCTACCCAAATTTCTTGTGATAGGACCCCAGAAAACAGGTAAGAAGTAATGAATTTGTAACCAAAGCTAGCCCCCCAGTTTTGTATCTGTGTATTTGTGTCCTGTAAACTGAAGCCAACTCCCTACTATAGCGATGGTGCACTCCCGATCCCTATGGGATTCAGATAGCAGCTCCTTCACTGCCAACAGAAAGGGACAACTGTTTGTATAGTAAAATTGCATTCATTCACCATAAAAAAAGAACATGCTGTCAGGCTGCCCTACGTTAAGATTATTAAGGTCTTTGACAAATTATTTCAACATCATTTGTGACCCTAATTGACAATAAATGTATTTACCACCTTGCAGGTCTCTGAGGGTCTCAGGGCATTATTTGAATTAAGCCACATACTCCAACTCCCAAGACAGCTATTACTGTTGTGGACATATTTCAGAAAGCGGATGCTGAGGCAGGGAAATAAATGACTAATCCAAGATCATACAGAAATTCTGCGACAGTGACAAAGAGACAGCAGGTCTTGATTCATAGTCCGATGATAGCTTGCATAGCATGAAATCATCGAAGAACAAGCTTAAAGACACATTCTCCAAAACTTCCTTTACCACCATATATCATTTCCAGTTGTTTTTGTCAAGCAAATAACAAAAAAAGTACTGTTACTGGGATTTTAAAGCACACTTATTACATACAGGTTTGTCAGCATTGAAATAGACAATTTATTCCTCAATAGCAGACCCCCAGGAAAAATACACAGAGGACAAAAGTGCAGTTCTGGGAGCACCAAAAGCGTAATCCCACAATTAGTGCTTTTGAAAAGTTTTGTGCAACTTAAATAGTTGAAAGCAAATGTGTTCGAGCCAGATTCCCTCGCTGGTTAAATACACAGTCAAGCAAGCAATGTCATCAAGAGCCATATTGTGCTTGCATCAGAGTTTGGATGTGGGAAAAGTTCGATGAGCAGAGAAGTCTGCACGTATTCCCCCCTCCCTCTGAAAGCCCCTTGTGCTTACACAGGCCTTTCATCAATAGGCAACTTTCTTATAAAAGGTAATCTAATTTTCCCGTATATCTCAGCGTGCATTGATTTAAAGTACTTTCTTGAATGAATAAAGTCAAAGGGGTTTTTTTTTTCTATTTCCTAATGGCATCTCTTTTTGTTGTTGCAGGAACAACAGCGCTTTATTTATTTCTTCTGATGCATCCTTCCATTATCAGTAATCTCCCTAGTCCAAAAACTTTTGAAGAAGTTCAGTTCTTCAATGGAAACAACTATCACAAGGGAATTGACTGGTAGGAAGAATACCAAAAAAGAAGTGTTGATTATTAATACGTGGTAAATCACAATGGAACAATTACAGAAGTATGTATGACATCAACATAATTACTGGATGAATTTGTTATGCTTGGCATTATCAGACAGAAAGAGAAACTAATTTGTAATGACGGGACATTTAATCGAGTCCTTAGTTTTATTTAGATATTACAGTAACAGTTTTCTTATTTTTTTCACATATGAATACAATAGCCAGCTCAGTTACGACGCCTGTCTTCATGCTGACTAGCATCTCTGCCTTTTCATAACTGTAGCTATACTGAATTGTACTCTTTTTCTTCAAAAGCGGCTTTTCATGAAGTTAAATTTGATTCCTCTCTTCATGAGAAACAAATCCCACTGTAAAGCATTTCAGCTGGTACTCCTATCACAATTTTAAATATCGCTTTTACTACTTTTGTTTAAGAAAAGCATTTTTGTAAGGCTTTCGTTTCCACAGGGAACAGTGGTTCTTATCCTTGTGTGAAAACTGAGGTATAAGACAAACATCACACTACACAGAAACAGATTAATCTTGAGCGATTTTCCTTGCCCACGTACGGCATGGAGAGCGTGTGGAGCGAACGAGGCTGGCTGATAAAAGCAGGCTGTCCCCACAACTACGAGACCAGCGTCTCGGTTCAAGGTGTTGCGAAAAATAAAGGGGAAAAAAATGCTTGGCGTTTGTTTTTCCATACTGGGTGAAGAAAGAGATCACCCATGGTTATCATAGAGTACATGGTGTAATGCACTCGGAGAAGAAGGAGCGGTGTTGGGGGGTTTCTCCTCTGCAGCCCCTTGCACAGCATACAGAGGAAGAGGCTGGCCTCTCGGGGACCTCTTCTGCCACGCTTCACTGAAATTGGCCCGCAGGTTCAAAAGTCAGTAGGGTCCTGTGTGAAGGGTGAGGCCCCGTATGCTTCGTTTCCATAGGAAGGACACAAAAAACAGTTAGCCCGAGCAAAACTGGAAGTTCCCGGAGTGCTCAACAAAACTAAAGGGCCCGAAAAATGCCTCCAAAACAATTTCACCTTTTGCTTCGTTTGAATTCTTCACCCTTTCAGTTGAACCTTCTCTTTTACTTACTTTTACTTCCAACCAACTTTAAGTGGAAAAGACCATTCAAAGCCAAAATTCAAATCTTGCATTCTGAAAACGTCTAAAAGAAAAGATTTGTCGGTTCCAAAATGAAATATTTCAACAATGTTAAAATTAAATGGCTGACATTTTTAAGCTTTTCCCATTTTTTTCTGCAGCTAAAACTGAACTCACTCCAAACTGGTGAGATATCCCTTTGACATTGAACTTATTAGGAAAAATCCCATCCATCAAAGGAAAAACCTAATTACCTGACTTCATAGAGGCTTTAGCTATTACCAGCACCATGTAAGAGCCAAGATGCGTTTCCCCTATTCCAGTTCTGGAGTAAGCTGAGAAATTCAATTTTGCTTCTTGAGAATTATGTCTGAAAATTCACCTTTTCACCTACCATGAAATGGGAAGCACAGAGATATGACCCTTTTGTGATATTGCTAATTCTAACAAGTTTCTTCACCTCCCAGGTACATGGATTTCTTCCCCACTCCTTCCAACATCACCACCGATCTCCTCTTTGAGAAAAGTGCCAACTATTTCCACTCCGAGCAAGCCCCTAAACGAGCTGCTTCCCTCATCCCCAAGGCCAAGATCATCACCATCCTCATCGACCCATCCGATCGGGCGTACTCCTGGTACCAGGTAGGGACCTTGCCTTCGAGAAACGGACAGTGAAATCAATGGCAGGGGATGATGGCCAACATCAGCGGGAATTTGTGGCCTCGAGCAAGAATGGGATTTACTGCAGAGCATTTGCACTGTGTAGAAGTGGAAGGATGCTGAATACCAGCTTTTGCAGTTGGCACCTGCGACACCAGTGTCATAAATGATGAAACTTCTCAGCACAGAGCTGCCACCAGCTGTAAACAAACAGTTTAATCTCAATTACAGCTGACACTGCATAGAGGAAAAGCAGTGCTCCTCGCCCAGGGAGATACCCCGGGGAAAATGAGCATGGCCTAGCTAGAAAATCAGAGCTCTTGATGCCAAGAATCTGGTACCACATCCCGTCCTCCAGCGTAAGCTGAGCAATATGCAGTGATGTACAAATTTATGCGGTGTCTTCTAAAGTTTCCAAAGAGTTAAAAAGAGCTGTGTCTGGAGAGTTTTGGGTTTTTTTTTTTCTTTCTCTCCTTGGAAACAAAAGAAAGCCTGTTATTTTTCCAAGGAAACTCTAGGATGCTCACTCTTGCCTTTTACTGAGCTCACACCTTTCCATAACAAAGTAGGCACTTTTAAAAAGAGATCTTTAAGCATGCATGTAAAATATGGTGTAGTCATACAGATAAAGGACACACTAAAAGCAGCATTAAACCAGACACAAATTAATAACGTTGCAATAAGCATCAAATACACCATTTCTGATACTGTTACGAGTTCTGCAATTGGTTTAGTGATGGACTTGGTAGTGTTAGGTTAATGGTTGGACTGGATGATCTTAAAGGTCTTTTCCAACCTAAACGATTTGATGAGTCTATGATTCTATGAATAAAACATGGCCTAGGGCTGCAGTTTGTACCCTTTTTAATATCTCATTTGCACATTTACAACTGCCAGTGCGAGATGCAAAGCAGTAAAACCAATTGTGCCTACTTTGGCAGAATTTGGCTCCTCAGCTCCCCTCCCACCTGTCCCAGGAGGGCCTTTGACTGAACGGTGGCCCCATCCTGCTTCCGAGCCCCCCGGCTCCTACCCGGTGGAAGTGGCACTGGTGGGGAGCCGAGGGGCTGCTGCAGGCTGAAGCTGGGCCAGCCGTGCCAGCACAGCCCTCCCCAACAGCTCTCGGGAGGCTTACAGCTTCATAGAATCATCGAATCGTTTAGGTTGGAATTCATCTTCAGCACCCCTGTGATATGTCTCCAAATATCTCCCCTTAGCATCAGCGATCCCATGAGGACCCCGCTGCCCTGAAATTCAATTTCTATGAAGTCGTTACGTCCAGCCATTGGGCGCCCTCGGAGATAAGGACTCTCCAGAAGAGATGCCTGACACCCGGATGGTACGCTGTCCATATCGAAAGATGGTTAACTCATTACCCTGCTTCACAGGTAATTGCCAACCTGTTGTTTCACCAAGCTTATCGACTCACGGAAAGTCCCAAAATGAGTATGGCCTCATCGTTAGAGGTGATGGGATATTTCCCACTGGAACTCTTAGCTGTTAGGAAATGCAGATTTGACAAGATCAGGATATTTGGCAGAAGCGTGTTGATTTTCTTCTGTCTTCTGATGGAAAAGATGCAACAGGAAAATGCTATGAACTGTGGCCACATGGGCTTGATGAGGAACTTTGGGGTTTCCTTCCAGGATCAGCCAAGGTTGTCAAGGCTTCTGGGTCCCAAGAAACAAGCAGCTGCAGCATGAGACATTGTGGGAAGGTTTGACAAATTCATTTAGAAAATGCCAGGGCTTTTTCTAAAAAGAAACGTCATTCCACTTCCCACTCACTCCCTTTCATAGAAAATTTCACATTTGTTTGATCCTGATACGGAATTAGCCTTTCTCAGTGTTAGAGCAGAAATTCCTTCTTTTGCCCCATCTTCCTTCAGATGTTTTATTGAATTGTCTTTTATAATCTTTCCCATGAAAAACTGACGTAAACACATAGACCTAAAGAATATTCCCGTTACTAAAAAAAGTTGTTTACAGATAGAAACCTAAAGCAAACAATTTACTGCTACAAAATATATGCATGGGCACTCTTTACCCATGGATGTGGTCCATAGCTCAGCTCATATGCCTACCTACTGTAAGAAAAAGTTGTAAAGGGATATTTAATGAGCAAGCATAATGAACACGTATCTCCAGACATTGCTCTATGTGGGACAGAATTTTGCTGAAAGGAGGTAGAACTGAGCGTTGCCTATTTAGTCAGGGACCTGGAAAAACAAAAAGAAATAGCAGCTGTCTTTTTGCAATCCTCACGTTTCTTTTTTATACAGTCTCAGCTGTACTACAAAGAGGAGAAGCAGGTCAATCCCATTTCCAGGAGAAAGGAGAAAGTCTCAGTTAGTCATTTACTTTCTTCTTTCATCTCTGGCCTTTTTACTCTTTCATAAATGGGGAAGGAGTAGTGCCTAAAGCAGCTGAGCTTGCAGCAAGGGCCGTCCCCAGGCAGTATCGCCCTAGGAGCAAACAGGGCACATCTCCTCATCGGCCACCGCGTCCCAACTTATTCCTCCGAAGGAGGAGGGGCTGTCCCGGCAAATTCGGAGCATGCAAAGGGTGCCAAACAACCCGTGCCCTGTTACCTGTCCTCCTCCTCTGCCCTCACCCAGGGCTGCTGTCCCCTCTCATGAAGGTTTCTCTCCTTCTCCTGCCATAGCGAAGAGCAAGTGCAGCCCTCTTATTAAACATTCAGGTGCACATTGACATATTTCTTGTAAAACCGGTAACCACTCATGTTTTGTAGTTATAGCGATTAATTTTACAAGATACACAACAAAATGCACTCATTCTTAATAAGGTGCACGCAGAGAGAGTGTGCTCACCGTGCTTACTAATGGGCACTCAGTAATATGCATTCGCTCAGCCTGTGCACTCAAAAACTTAATAATTCATAATAAGCCTTCACAATAAATATAAAACACTTCTGCCCAGAATAGTTATTAGTAATACTGCGTGGTACTCCAGTAGACTTTTGATACATTGTCTTAACATTTGCTTGTGGAGGTCAACGTACCTTTACATCACATCCATCTTTAATTAAAAACAAAACAAAACAAAAAACCTCTTTGCTAACAATTTTGCAAGCCTATATGGTTGATAGGCTGGTGGTATGTTTCAAATAAATTGCCGCAATATCACTTTTGAACATGTGATTGTGTAGTTTCTGAACATTCATTTCTAAGATACAGATGAGCTTTTTGTTGTTTTTCTTATTCCACGCCAGATTTTCTATAGACACATTGTAAACCTCAACAATGTTTTTACATTCCTTCCTTATCTCTTTTTCTCAGAATTCTCTGAGAGTCAGGTTTGGCTTGGGAGATTTAACTCTTGCATTTGAACAACATGCACCCACAGAGTTACAAGGTGCCCAGCTATACAAATTCAACATACTAAACTAAAAAGTAAATCTAAAAAGAAGTTCATCCATATGATTGTTAGTAACACTGTACAGTCACATGCTAATTTAAATCCATGTTGTCACAGAAGGGAAATAATGTTCTTGTGTTAACCTTAGTCCTGTTTCTAACTAGCTAGCATATTTACCCCTACAGTTGCTTATTATTGATGGACAGCAGCTAAGAAGTGACCCAGCTACTGTGATGGATGAAGTGCAGAAGTTTCTTGGAGTCTCTCCTCATTATAATTATTCTGAAGCTCTAACGTGAGTCTGGTCCTCTATTATCTGCCCTATGGGATCACGGTGTACAACCCCTCCCACCAAGATCACTTGATCATTAATTACAAACAAACAAACAAAAACCACGTTACAACGGTGATAATTTTGCAAAGCTTGGGGTTTTCTTAAAGTCATGTTTAACACCCATCCAGTGTTCCCTGAACTTGCATACATACAATACATTACAGAGTTTAATTGCATGATTGCCTACATTTCCACATGCAAACTCCACTTTGCACAACACACAGAACAAATGACTGCTCAGTATTTTGTATCAGACGCAGAACAAAGGCCCAGATTCATGTAAAAAATGTCTGCTAAGTTTAAGTGTTCGATCAGAGATGCCCAGGACTTGTTTTCTCAGGGTGCAAAGTTTTGCTTTCCTCGCTGTACTGTTTGAAATGTACGTTCAGTTGATTTGAGTTGTGCATGTAAGAGCTCAGCACGCATTTGCACATCAGACTGTTGAACCTTAAGAAGCTGAAGACCACTTAGTGTCAGGTGTGAAACGTTTGGCTGAAATGTTTGTATCACATTCATATAGGACTCTAATGACAGAGATCGAGCTAGAAGCACTCAGTATGATAAAATTCATCTGGTTGCGTGGTTTCTTTGATTGTTTGCTTTTAACGTGGACCAAATACCTCACTCCCTAATCCCATCTTCATATATGGCTGAGCCAATTCTGCTGACCTTTTATCTGGTAGTAGCCAGGCACACGGCACAGAAGAATTTAGTCCGTACACTTGAAGTTTGGTAAAATTGTAAGCTACTAATAGTAGATCCCTAACCTGGAAGTGCCAGGCTGAGGCGCAGCACCTGGAGCATGGGGAGAGGCTCGTTATTTGCCTATGAAGCACAGAACCCTCTGACTGAGCAGCCTGGCTGTTCGTGGTCTGGGGTGTCGGTGCCAAAATGGCAAAAATCAAAGCCCAAATCAAGGTGCCCTGAACTCAGGGAAAGCCCTTTGACTGACTTCCCACAGCCTTTGGTTCAGATCTAGCAAAGGCAGCTGCGATGAGCCCGGACCGCATTTCTCATCCTCGCTACCCGGAGGGTGAGGCTTTCCCCGTGAAAGGGGATTAATGGTCTGTACGGCACTCCCTCTTTGACGTTTCGCCATTCCCCGCAGGAAGGCAGAGTCTCTGCAGGGGTGGGAGCGGGCTGAAGTTCTCTCTCCCTTCTTAGTCCGGCAGAAAATCGTAAGAAGCTTTTGCACTGAGCCTCTCCGTATGAGGAGCAGCATCATCTCATTACAGCCAGAAGCGCCGGGCTGGGAGAGCCCTGGGACATCTGTGGGCTGAGAAGCCTGGCACTGCGGCAGAGGTTTTTCTGAGTCAGTGTGCAAGCAGGGAGAGCAAGCTCTTCCCTGGGTGGGAAGTAGAAAAGCCTGTACCTCACCTTCCCTGCAGGCTGGTACCAGGAAAACTGCGGGAAAATGAGACCACGGACACGTCGCCCACCCCACACTGCCTCCTCTCTGCTTATGATTATTACTTAATGTTTTCTCCGCTGGGAGGCTTATGGTTATTTATATAATACATGTAAAGTGAGCGGTGAGTGCTTGTTGTTCTTTGGGTCTTAAGAATGTTGCTCTGCCAAAATCTTTTTCTAGAGGAAACATTTTGGTTTTGAGAATGTAATTTTTTTAAGTCATTGGTTTCTGGAGCGGATGAAATAGAGGAGGAGTTTGAATACGCAGCTGAACTACTGATGTTTGAACAACTGCTGCTGCACATCTGCAGCGCCTTCTGCGAGGTTTTTGAAAGTACACACCCACATACATATATCTTCCTTTCTGTAACTAAATTAAAGTCAGTGGAGTCACGCGCCAGGAAAAACTTTGGCCTCTCATATTTGTTTGGACAGGAAAAATGGATTGTAAACAGATCTATAAAATTACGCAATCACTGTTCAGAGGCATCAAGAATGCAAATGTGCTGTGGAAGCACACACTTTGTGCGGATTTAGGATGGAAGAGAAGAATGCATTAAACAATGTAGTTGCTTTACGGTAGGACTGTCAAAGTAAAAAAGATTGCATAGGATCGTTCCTAGTCATTACTGCCTACTAACTGTATACCACACGTTTTTAAAGTTGTCACAAAGCAGCCTAAGGACCCAGTCCTGCAAACACTAGTGAGCAACAAGTTCATCATCCTGAGTAATTACGTGAACGTCTTATGGGAGAGTAAAATCAACCCAGGCAGAAGGAAGGTACTAATCAGAGCCATGGAAAGAGAGCAGAGGGGAGACGGAGGCAGGGCTCAGGCATCTGGAGAGAAGTGCACATCTTGCCGGGCTAGTAAGAGCTGAGGCGGGCCACTAGGTCATTGCTTCTTACACACGCTGCTAAAGAGGACCTAGATTAAGACTGGATACAAGGAAGACATTTTTTACAGTGAGGGTGGTGAGGCACTGGCACAGGTTGCCCAGAGAGGCGGTGGAGGCCCCATCCCTGGAACCATCCCAGGCCAGGTTGGACGGGGCTCTGAGCACCCTGCTCTGGTTAAAGCTGTCCCTGCTCACTGCAGGGGGTTGGGCCGGATGACCTCTAAAGGTCCCTTCCAACCCAAAGCATTCCATGATTCTATGATCCTATAACCTGCACTTTTTATTAGAGTAGTGAAAACAAAGGGGGAAAATCAAGTAATGTTGCAAGGCTTTTACACATAACGCCATCAATAGAAAGCCATTGGGATCCCCGCACAAAGCGCTAGGAGAGGGAAACTAGTCCGTGGTCTTCATGAAGTTCCCACTACGGCACTGAAGAGATCTTTCCCACCTCTCCCCCACCCACTTGTTTTCACAGGGAATGGCCGAGGTCTTAAATGTTTTAAGTTCCTGAACCTAATGAACAGAAACGTAGAACACATAAGACTGAAGTTACAAAAGACCTTTCCTTTTAATCACAGGATGGCCCGACCGAAGCTCCACTGGCTGCTAGGAAGATGTATTTCATGCCTGACATCTTCAGACGACTCACGGTCCGGGGTAGCGAGGGCCAGTGATTCTCTTCTTTGTTTTTCTCAGCAGGCAGCAAAGGAGGGAGGCAGGACAGAGCTTGGCTTTGGGAAAGGGCAGCCAAAATGCCGCTTCTTCCAGCCCCGCTCATCACGCCACGCTCTGCCCACAGAGGCAGCTCCGCATCCATCCAATCTCAGGGGAGATTTCCCTCGCTTTCCCTCGTGTGAACAACAGGAGGGAAAGCAAAAGACAGGATTAGAGGAACATGCTTAAGTAAATGTTTTCTCTTGGGAGTGCTGCTACGCTTTGTCAGAGAGTAAAAGATCCTCACGGTGCCATTGCTCAGCCCTGCCCTCCCAGGCACCCTCCCCACCTCTAGCATCAGGTACTGACTTCCCGAGAGGTGGGGTGGGCGTACGGGTGTCCAGGTTCAGCCCTGCATCCCCCAAAGGCCTACTCTGCAAGGGAAGAAAAGATAACCGGGCTCACTTGTAACTTCAGCCTTAGGGCTACCACTATTTTTAAATAAATACTTTCATTGTGCCCAATTACATTTTCAGGAGTCCTGAGAGTTCCGTAATACCTGAACGCAATAGGTTGAATTCAGCCCGAGCTGTCTTATCCTCTTTTCCCCTACCCAAATTTGCACAATCTCTTAATAATGTTCAATATGCTCCTTCTGAGGCAGAAATATTGTTTGGGGCATAGTTTTGCAGTTTTCCTTTTACCCAGCACGCTATATTGCAGCCTCTCTTGGGAAATTAGTGCAAGCCAGCTAAAGTACTTCACCATGCAATGAGCAGATGGAAAAGGCCAAAGTAGAAATGAATCTATCATCGATACATCCATTCAATCGATGGTTTATTTATTTTTCATTGATACAGCTACTGAGACGACGTAGGAAGCGAGGGTCAGGCCTGCAACAATAGGCTGGGCAAGGAAAAAAACCTGAAGACGATTCACCCTTCTCCAGAAATTAGTTCACTTATGTACAGCAGCAAATTGCAGGTGCACCCGTGTCGTACGGATAGACCCAGGGCAAAAAGGTAGCCTGTAACCAATTAACTCCATGTTCCAGCCAATTATACTTCATCCTTTTCAGACATCTGCTGAATAGCAGAAACGCGAGCCTTTTCAATGTTTTATGCATGCTGGAAGTCCCATAGCAATAAATCCAAAACTTAACGCTGCGTGTTGTTCATTCCTTAGCGAGTATGCGTTTTAAAGCCTTAATCTAAAATTCCTATATCTTTGAATTTTAGACATCAAAATCAAATTGTTTATTTCAGATAAGACTGCTAAGACAGTGTTTATGCTATAACGCCATCTTTGGAATGAAAATTATATTCAGATCTAATGATACGGAACAACCAACTTCTCAGGTGCAGTTAAATTATCAACAACCAACCAGCGGTTCTTTCAGTAGACCCGAACGCTGCTTATTTCACTCAAAAATCAACATAAACCATTTCACTATTGTATTTCTCATGATTTCGTAGTCATGCAACGACCGCACACTTTTCTGTATAAATAGACTGAGGGGTTGAGCCTGTGCCTGTGGAAGGCAGCAAACAGATCTGCTTGGCCTTTTTAACCCCCCTCACCTTGAGCGTGCTGACCTACAACAGCATCAGGTCCACGGGGCCAAACGGAGAGCCTTCCTTGAGCACAGCTGACGACATCCTTGAGAACATAGCACATCTAATTCCAGGAAAAGAGCCGATGCGTAATTTTTTCAACAAAACGTTCTTTGTTCAAGTGTCAGTTGATCCGAACATTAGCATCCCACAGGCATACACGGAGCAGTTTGACACGAATAAAATCTCTGACCAAAACCAAACACTACAATATGAGTCACAGTCTGGAGTGGGGCCGTGTAAGATCCTTGAGACCGAAGCTCAGGACCCTGACCGGCACCCTGTAGATCAACACTTAAAACTTGTACCCTATATGCTGGAGAAGTGGATTGAAAATTAGCTAGCGTAGGTAAAGCACAATGTGAAAAACTTCTTGCCTTGAGCCACTCCCAAGGCAAATTTGTGGAAAAAATAAATTCCCAGAGCTTTCACAAGAGAGGAAAGCTGTTTCCCACTCTGTCCTCAGTATTTTAGTCGTCCAGAGAGGTGCGTGCAGCAATAATTTTTGGCTAACACTGATGTCTTAGTAGCTGGGAGATTCCTCTGTAGTGAGATCGTTCAAAAACTATAATCCTCTACAGGTTTGACCCTCAGAAAGGCTTTTGGTGCCAGTTACTGGAAGGAGGGAAAACAAAGTGCCTGGGAAAAAGCAAAGGTCGAAAATACCCACCAATGGACCAAGAGGTAAGGGCTTTCCAGAGATTTAACATTTTTTAATATTGACCCTGTGTTTGACTTATAAACACACTGATTTCTTTTTTTTTTTTTTTTCCCACTGGCTTGCTATTTTTAAAAAACAGAAACTTTTAATGAACTTTGAATGACAGGAGGTTAATTGCCCCTCTCTTAAGAGCCCCGCTCTGGGAGCAGTGCCTAGCTTCCGGGCGAGAGCACTTGCCAAAATCTGCCGTCGGGTGGGTTTCCTTCTTTGACAGTTGTTGGTTTGTTTTTTTGTTTTTCACCCTTCTCAGTCTCGAGCATTTCTGTCGAGCTACTACAGAGACCACAACGTGGAGTTGTCCAAGCTGCTGCACAGGCTGGGGCAGCCCCTGCCCTCCTGGCTGAGACAGGAGCTGCAGAAGGTCAGGTAGCACGCAAGGGCGGGGGACCCAAACAAGGACGATTTCCTTCACCGTCAAACCCCTTGCTTCTCCGACTCACTTGTGATCGTCAGTAGAGGACCTCATGAATAATGTTCTTTCTATTAAAAAAAAAAAAAAAACCACAAAAGAATAACAAACCAAACCCGACAACTGTTTATATGCACGCGCCGACAGTTATTAGCATCGACCCCTTTTGTCAGCTCCCAGGAACCGATACGGAGCTACGTGGCATTACTCCTTACCCAGAGCGGGATTCGTGCATAGCCTAGTTCCTCTGTTCACCAGGAAGTACCAGAAACTGTGTGTAGGATGGATTGACTTCAGCGTACACGACAAATTGCAGTCTGTCAGGACACGAGCAAAGGATGGGAACATCTCTCGCTGGACTGTGAGGTTGGTCATCCGCTGGGGTTCTTCCACGTTTGTTTTCGCTGTTTCTTCCCGCCAACCCTGCAAGTTTTCCTATCATTTTATAGGGGGGTATTCAGCACTTTGCAGACGGGATTCCTAAAGGTTATGATATATGTAGTATTAATGCACTGTCATTGCTCTCTCCACAGAAAGAGGCAGGCTAAATTCTCACCTAACCTGCTTCCCTGTGATTCCTGTAATAACTGATGACAGTCTGTGCTCTTTGGTTGTTTTTTTTTTTCTTTTCCCTTCACAACAAGATATACACCGATTTACTGGAGTTGTGTGGGTTGTTGAGGTGCAAGGCAGCGAGGTGGCCCTCCTCCCAGATCTCAGTGAAATCCACTGCCTGTCTTTCGGACGTGGCTACTTTGCCACCATGATAAGGTTCATCGCATCTGTTGGGTTCCTACAGCAGCTGTGACAGAGCTCCGAGATGTGAAATCATATCAAATATTTTGTCATAATGCCATACGACTCCTTAAAACACTATTAAAACCTTAAAACCTAAGCAGGCCATGCAAGCAGTGTGCAGACAATAACCTAATATCAACAATTTTGCTTCTATCTGGAAAGCAATGTTTTTGCTCTGAAGCCTTCAAAGTAAGAGATTGGGTTAGTCGTTTAGGGTCTCGGTCTGCAAAATATTACAGAAAAAAAACCCTTGAATGGAAAAACCCTACCGTCTGTTGAAGAATAAACTTTGTATAGACTTTAATGGAGTTGAAAGGACAAGCATATCCACTATGTATCACGTATACATCTATGATGCATATATTTTTATGCCTGCATGTCTACCTACTATATATCTAGATCAGACATACACTTAGTTTTACGTATCTGCTTTTTGTGCCCGTAGGTAAATGAAAGGGTGGTTTACCAAAAATATGGTATTATGAACTGTGTTTTCTTCGCAGATCTATGTGGGCAAGGTCAACAGGACTGGGCAGAAACTCACCGGGAAATTTAAGCAGAGGGAACCAATACCATTTGGGCATTTTAGCCTTGTAACACTTTTTCTCAAGAAAACAAAAGCTGGCAAAGCTTTGCTACATGTTCTTTATGCAGCACAAAATGGAGTAGGTTTTAGTTTTCAAACTTCCCCGTCTTACTTCCTAGGCAGAAGCCATTTCAGGTGCTGCAGAGGCTTTGTGCTTTCCCCTCCCCGTGAATTTGACCCGCACCTCCTAGCTCAGGAGGCAGAACTGGATGTTAGGGTTGCACCATGAATTCAGAGCAGCGAGAGCCGGCCTGTGGTATTCAGGAGCACTCAAGCAAATTAATTTAGGCTTCAAACCAGTTGATACATGTAGATATCTATCTTAGCATTTCCAAACCCCTAAATCATGAGACTGTCCACCAAGATCGTGACACTAGCTTATTTTGGATCGACAAGTCTAGCGCTCCCCAGAGCTATCCTGGTGCCAGCCTCCCAGCTCGGCAGCGGCACCACCTGCCTGCCACGGTGAATCCTCTCACCTGGCCTCCATCACTTCCCTCCACCACTGCCCACCTGCACATGCCTGGCTGCTGCTGCTGCTTCTCTCCGCACTGTTCCGGCCCTTTTCTTAGTCCCAGCACGGCCCTGGTCCAGGTCCTTCATCCATGCGAGGAGCCGGCGCTGCCCTCCTTGGTCCCGCACGCACAGCCCACGGGGTTGCACAGAGGAGAGGCTGAGGTGCGACCAGCACCAAGTCCCCGCACGGTGCCTTGTGCTCCCGCTCTCCCCCTCAGCCCTCGCTCCTTCTGCAGGAGGAGCCAGGGCAGGGGTGGGAATAGGACGAGGACAGGTCCCCCCTGCCCAGCGGCTGCTGGCTGCCACAGGAGCATGACTTGCTCAAGCCCAGCAGCGCTGCACCAGCCCACTCACACAAGGACACACGCCAACGTAGGGGAAGGCCCAAAGGACCAAGCGTTGCCCCGTCTCGCGCTTGCTTTTAAATATTGAAATGGGGTTCGTCTCACATAAGTGAGACATCTACTTGATTTTATAGGTGATGAAGGGAAATAGCGCTTCTAGGACACCATTCATCTCATCACAAAGCAGACTTCTTAAATGAGTGAGATTAATCTTGCCTCTTCCTCTGTATTGATTGTAAAAGGACAATACACACCTCATTCAGAGGAAGAGCTCAGCTGTACAGGTCTAAAATTAGGTGAGCTGAAAAGGAGCTGGTAGTTTCTCTCACAGCTATAGCTGTTGAAGATCGGAGGGAGCTGGGAGGGTCTGAGGGAAGGTTTTGATTTTGTTTTGTTTTCCTAAAGTCATTTTTCTACTTCTTATATTTCGGCCAGGAGGACTCTTCAAAATGAGCTAGGGCAAACTAAATGTCAAATAAAAGGAACCTTCTGTGGGGGTTTTTCACTTTTGGGGTTTTTTTTTGGGGGGGGGGAAGTCAGTTACATACTTTGTTGCAAATTCACACGGTTTTAACTTTTAGGACTGACAATGGCAAAGATGACTAGTCTGATGAGAGTTTTGGATAAGTAAGCTGTGGTCAGAGAAGAATATCTAAATCAAGCATTTGATAAAATTTTAGCTGTTAAAATGCATTAGAATTGGCTCATCATTAATTAAAAGATGACTTCATAACGTCTTGATTAAAAGCTAAACAAACATAAAATGGGTTTCAGAAGTTTTTCAAGGAAATGAGACAAATACCATAAAGTCTGGAAAATTATTTCTTGTTCTTAGTTTTTCATTTAGAAAAAAAAGAGAATTAAGCCTTTCCAACGCTCAGCTCTGTAACAGCATCATGTCCTTAAAACACACTGGATATTGTTATACCTCACTGTTATTTTTAAGTTTGAATGGGGCATCACATTTCCGAGAGATCTCGTGTTCCATTGAAAACTGACATTTGAATTGACTTCATTATGTGTCATATAAAGATGAAATAACAGTATTTCAAAGTTTCATTCCTTCCACTTGTAAGAGGACCCATCAACACAGAATTTCTCTGGACCACCATATTATAGAGGAGCCTTTGTGAACTAGCCGTAAATGATCTCGATTTCTTTTATGCCTTTCATATCGCTGACCACGTAATTGTTGGGATTCTTAAAGACCTGCAAAACAAACGCAGTAAAAATGAAACATTTATTCATGGCAAGGGGGCTGTAACTGGGAAAGATAAGGCTGGCCTTTCTTTCCTATTCATAAGCTACAGGATTCATCTCCACAATACCTCCACGCGGCGCGGGCTGTAAATCAATAGGAGTTTGACACGCTGCTGCTGCAGTTTGCTCCCATTCCCCTGGAAATACGGATTCTTGCAGAGGTTTGCCGCGCCGAGGACCTGACCTGCTGCCCATGGAGACCAGTGGGAGTCTTCCTATTAATTTCAGCAGACCCCGCTTGGCCCCCAGGAGCCGGTTTCACAAGGCACAATCTTGCGTGGTTCAAGCATCATGTCGCCCTATCGCCGCTGGAAATCCATCACTAGTTTGATTTCTATCCCCGAGCAGGGATTTCTTCCCCCCACCTCTCTCAGTCGGCGCTCTGCCGTGGTGGGAGCTGCAAGCTGTCCCCCAGCTCCAGCACCCCGAGGGGCTGCACCGCTTCTGGTCTCGCCGTACCACGCGGGTCCCTCTCCACTGCACCCTCCCGCCTCGTTGGCTACGAGAAAGAGAAAACCCTACGGGCCAGACACAGGCATCAGGGTCTGTGGCAGCATATTTGATGATTAAAAGCAGGACTTTGGCCCTCAGAAAACCGAGCTTGTATAATCGAGCTTGTCTTTGAGCGAGAAGCAATCAGAACGGAATCCAAAACCTTCTAAATTATGCATTGACCTCTCAAGGTCTAAAATAAAGTTGCCAGATTAACTGCTCATAGATGTTTTCTAATAAAACAAATTTTCTCCCTGATAGGGAATCAGACTGCTGAGTGTCCCCAAAGCAAATTAAGATGGTGGAATTATAAATTCTTGGGGGAGGAAAGCGTTGCGTAATGAAAGCACTGATGGGTCCAGACTCTCTGATGTGATAATAAGGCAGCGGGGACCTGCCCTGAATACAAAAGCAGAAGCTGAATATTTTCTCCTCTTCCTTCCCCCTCCTCCTTTTCCTTCCCATTCGTATTAAATTTTGAGCCAGCGTAGCGCGTCTGAAAAGCGCGCAACGGGCAGAGCCCGTGAGGCGGGGGAACGTTACGCATCTCCAGAACGATCGGCCAACCATAAATTGGGTGCGGGTGCTCGTTTCCCCTAAGCTGGGCCACCTCAAAGTTAGACATCAAGTCCAAACTAGTCATTTCGTTTCCGTGAGTAGCAAATTATGGTTATAATGGGTTTAAAATTGATGTTTATAATAGGTGTGTGAGCGTGTGACGGTTGTGTAAAACAGCTACAACGTAGGTATAGAAATCAGCAGAGACTAAGCGTCTAATTTTATTGTAGTTAAGTAAGATGAAGCTGGCCGCTGCTGTCAGGAGCGGCGCTCTCTGCACACGCGACAGCTTTGCCATTTTAGCTCTCGGCTTGCAGTGCCACCTCTCCCTCAGAATCACAGAATCATAGAACAGTTTGGGTCTTACCAGGAGACACGCTCTTTCTCAAAGAGCTGAAATCTCGTATGATCACCTCACTATAGTTATCCTCATCGGTATCAGATCACGAAACTTAGCTTGAACACTTAGTCTGCCCATCGTTACATTAGTTCATGCACCTCTGCATACATCTGCCAGGA